TGCCCCTGATTAAGAGTTAAGAGGCAATGTGTCCTCGTAAAGGAGCATTTTCAGTTGTGTAAGCTTAGAACATACAGAGAACAGTGAGTCCAATACTTATTCAAGCAGCTTATTTTAGTTTTTCATATCTTTTAAGTAACTGCAGACAAGTGACTCATTCTGGCTGTGGATGGATAATATATATATATATATATATATATATATATATATACATATTTTATATATGTATCTACATATATATATATATATATATATATATATATATATATATATACACACACACACACACACACACACACAAATTTATTCTGGAAACCACTGACACCTTTCCAGATGGCTGAATACTGAATACTCGCATAAATATGTGACTCCACAATAGTTCTTTAAATCTTCATTATGTAAGTTTTGGAGACGTCTCTGGAGGAAATGTGTAATTTGCACATAACATGCAGAAATATATTTTGGATCATCTGCTGTCTATGGACACCTGTTTCCTAAAGGGATCAATCTGGTGACAGCAACAACACAAAGAGCATCTGAGGAGAACTCATGTCAAAAGTTGGTGAAGGACATGTCTTCTGAAGATGTACCTAAATGATCATTTACTGTTTAGCACACTATTTAGCATTTTGCAGTAGTTGACTGTCATGGTCATCTATCATGTGAGACCTAATTATTGGGCCGGACCTTTTTGAGCCTGTGTGTGGCATTAACACGTAAAGACGTATGATGTGGTCTGAAAAACTCCCACGAAATCCGTCAGTACGCCCCTTATTTCAGGCTTTACAGTGTGACTCGCAGCAGCGCACGCTCACCATATTCATATTCATCTGATTTTTGTGGATTAATTGTGGACTAATCCTAGTCACCATCACAGCTTTTATTCTGTAACCGTGGATCAGGCAGCATGTTTTACATGTCATTTCATAAAGGTAGAGCTGCTTTGTCTGACTGTGTTAGACAGAGACTCAAAGTCTCCCCACACTGTTGCTCAATGACCTCAATGATCTGTAATCTGTCAAATTACAGTCATTTAATTTCTTAGAAATACTGCCTTTTACTGTAATTCAACAGTTTCAGTAGTTCAACCAGTTATTCTGATATTTTACCATTTTAATAATTACAGTAACAACCATTAAACTAAACCAAATGTCTGTGAATTGAAGATCATTTGTTTTTGTAAATTTGCAACATTGGAATGCTTGCAAAATGTAAATAAAAACAGAGTGCAAATCATTTAAACCCTATATTTAATTGCAAATAGTACAACCCCATTTCCAAAAAAGTTGGGATGCTGTGCAAAATGTAAATAAAAACAAAATGCAATGATGTGCAAATCATTTAAACTCTATATTTCATTGAAAATGCTTCAAAAACAACATATCAAATGTTGAAACTGAGAAACTGTGTTGTTTTTTGAAAAATATATGTTGATTTTGAATTTGATGCCAACAGCATGTTCCAATAAAGTTGGACGGGGGCCTGTTTACCGCTGTGTTTCATCACCTCTTCTTTTAATAACACTCTGTAAGTGTTTGGGAACTGAGGAGACACTGCTGTAGTTTAGAAAGTGAAATGTTTTCCATTCTTGTTTGATACAGGATTTCAGCTGCTCAGTAGTTCGGGGTCTCCTATGTCATATTTTCGTTTCATTATTGTGCCAAATATTTTCAATGGTTGACAGGTCTGGACTGCAGGTGGGCCGGTTTAGCACCTGGACTTTGGGCACTCAAAATGAATATTTTTCAAAAAACAATACAATTTCTCAGTTTAAAAATTTAGTATGTTGTATTTATACTACTTTGAATTAATTATCAGGTTTAAACTATTTGCACATCATTGCATTCTGTATTAATTCATTTACATTTTGCACAGCGTCCCAACTTTTTTGGAAACTTTTCTTTGGAAACAGAACTCAGCAAGATAAAAATACACTGAACAGTTTGACCTTTGGAACATTGATTTCATCTGCATTTGGCGGCTGTTTCTCTCAGGTCTGCGACAGCCTACTGAGAAAAAACCCACACCTAAGTAGCACAACCACACACAGGTGCAAACCACTACTAATTACCTTCTTGTTCACCCAGCCTGTCTTTCTGTCTTCGAGGTGACTCTCGAACACACCCCTGCAATATCCTTCTTTATTTCACTTCAGTGCTGTTGTAAAGCTGGACATATGAATCACCCTCAGTGATTATCTTTATTATGGTTCTTCAGTTTGTCAGGCCGATATCAGCAGAATAGACTGAACATTGGAGCCAAAAAAAGAACAAATTCTATCTAATCTGTAACGTATATACCACAGGCGCAGATCGTGAGATTCATTGCTAGCTGTGTAGTACTTCCTGTGGGGTAGTAGTGTTTATGTAGTGTGAGCATGACAGCCTACTTTTAGATGCTCAGCTTAAATTAAGCGCTTCACCTGGAAATAGTTTATTTTAAAGCTCAGATGTTTTTGAAGAAGAATAATTGGATCGTTATCGGTGTTGGAGAAAAAAGCATGGATCAAAGACCTGATCCAAAGTGACGACCTGAGAGATCTGGTGGACAAGAGGCTCCTAACTATGTAATAAAGTGACTAGTGAATGTACAATAGAGTCAGAACAGCTTCTTATTTTGGTTCCTTTCACATGGAGCAGAAGTTCAGTGGAGCTCAGTGTTTAAATGCTCAGACTTAACACCACAGAAAAGCCTCCAGTTCTGCAAGGCTAACCACAGCATGCTCTACAGAAAACAATACTGCCTTAAGCTTGCCTGATCATTTCATCGCATATCAATGCAATTATTGCAGAAAGAGAAAACTGGTGATATTTTATTCAAGTGGAAATTATATAAATTCAACACAGTTTCTTCACCGAAGGCCTGCAGTGAGCAAAGTTATGCATGTTGAAAACAGATCTTGATCACCATACGTGCTAGAACAAGGCCTGCAAAGAAAAACAACTGCTTTTTTTGGCATAACCCACTGTAAATGGAGGGTGATGAGTATACACTACTTGTGCTCTAAGGTAGGTCAGTGAGGCGGCCTGGAAATGATGTGAAAAAGCCTGAGACTGGGATGTTACCACAAATGTTCCTGTGAAAGAGCCCAAGGAAATTCAGCAGGCCAAGTTCAACAGTTAAAGACTTGTTTAGAGCACATTTAAAGTAAACAACTCAAAAACAGCTGCTGGTAGAGTACAAAATCTAGAAGTTGCACCAAAGGAACAACATTAAATACAACATGTTACAGAATTCATAACTTTGTGAAAATCACCCTCCAGTGAGAACCGTAAAGCCATCAGACTTCCTCTCTGTGCATGAAGGCGAAAATTCCAATTGTAAAAATAGGAAATTAAAGGGAGTCTGACGCAGCGTGATTCACCGCTTAACTCTTAGAACCTGCAACAATAACAAAAGCGTATCGCCATGAGAATTAATTAATTTTTTGCATTCATAGACAAAAGTGTGAATTCAAAACTTTGGGGTTTTTTTTTTCTTCCAAAACTCCGGGTTACGTCTGTTGGGTATGTCCGTGGTGCTTCTTTAGTGACTGTCTCAATAACAAATCAGCCAGTCAGTTACTTTTCAGATAATAACTAACCAATTAGAACAGAGTCGGTTAAACAGCTTCTTATCAGGCCGTGGCTCAGAGCCACTGACAGGAATGAGTCAGTAAACTTCCACGAAATATAGGCTTTTTTCTGACTGGAAAGATTCTCAGCTAACTTTAGCTCACTATAAAGTTTGTTCTCAGTGTCTTAGTGGAGGATCACTAGTATGTGTAGCTCATTATATGACATTTGTGGATGTTTAGAGCTGAATATTAGATCATTTTTAGCAGACATTAAAACGAGAGTAATAATTTTATGCTGGGTAATGTTAGCCTTTTAGCTGAGTTACACAACTAACCCAGGCTGGGCCTCCCAAAAGAAACATCTTTGTACTAAGATGCATTCGGGAAGCCGAGCCCTTTAGTTCACCCAGCAAACCTGGTTAGACTAGAGCTTATTTTACCACTCGCATCAAACTTACATTGGATGTTGTATTAAAAAGACTTTTTAACTGAACAGTCTGTTATTATTGAGCATGTAACAAAATCTTAGACAGTAACTCAACAAAAGATTAAAAACAACCCAGTGTAAGTGATCATATATGAGGGTGTCTTATGACCCTGACTGTTGGGTTATTACTATAACACAGTGATGCTGGGTCAGATTAATCCAGCATATGTTCTCTTGTTTAGTGAGTGTTTGGTTATGAACAAGATTCTAGTTGTGTTGTTTTTAACTCGGCACTTTTTAAATGTCACATTAGCATTTTGTCAGTGTGATAAACACTAAGCTACAAAGTCAGTTCTAACATGCTTCATTTCACCCATAAAACTGTCACAAAAACCTTCTGACCAAACTCCTGACCTGACTCCTGACCTGTTACGTCAGCTTGATCTCACAGTTGGAAAAAGCAGCTTTTAAGACAGACGACCCCTTTATAAATGATTATGTCAGTTGCCATGGCAAGCTTATGTATGTGTTATGTAAACACTGCCCTACATAAAAGTGTAACCAAAACTTTCAACGGATACCCCAGATGTTTTCAGAAACACAAGAGGGGACATTTTATACTGATTTGAATTCGGTGAAAAGGGTTGTTGTGTAGACAGTCTTATACTGAGAAAAGCAACATCACGTGTTTGTCATTTTGACATTAAAACAACTGGATTAAACTCAGAAAGTCAGATTCAAACCTGTCTAACTCGTGACTGGTAGGGATTAAAGAGGATTGGACCTCATGCAAACAAACATCTGCTTGCCTGCATAACTGACTGAATGTTGTAAGTCGTTCTGACCACCCGATCCTCATACTGCATGTTGAATTTTGCAACTAACAGCGCTGACATCCTGTTATAACAAGACCAGCAGATCTTATCAGTTTCTTTGGATTCTACTGAACTGTGTGTATGAGGGATGATAACACGTTTCGTCCTGCTTTTATCACCTTTTCATTTATAGAACTAAGCCATCCAGGTTCTAGGAATAGGAAAGTCACAGCTATATATACCCCTTCTTGGGCTTGGATCTAGTGTTACAGAACAGCCCCAGCCAGATAAGGACACGACAACGACAATGTGCAGCATGAATATAAACAAACTAGCAACCAGTTCTACAATACAGAAGCACGTCACAAAGCCAGGCATTGAAGAACCACTGAAGAACATGCGCCAAAACCCCCTGGAGGAGGTACAGACTGAAAAGGCATTTGTATGGCCTGAAGGTTTGTGCAGTCATGCAGTTTCTCTGTAGTATCATTTCTGGTGTGATTGAGGACAAATACATGTGCTCAGTTGGGTTCTCATACACTGTTCCACTGAGCTACGGTTTCAGTCTCATTCTGAGCTTTTCACTGCTAGGACTCCAGTGCGAGGAGCATAACACTGCATCAAACAGCGAGACACGCTCAGTTCTGATAAGGGGCTACTTCCTTCTTGCACAGAAAGGAGGGGAGAACACGGTGGCACATCAGAGACGACAGCTCAGCGTTTGACACCGCCAGCACTGGAAGCCACTCAACAGACACCTGCAGACTCCAGGTAGGGGTTTCCACAGAACATGAAAGGAAAAGCCAAAAGCAAAAGGAACATCTGTTTGTCTGCTCTTTGTGTGTCGTGGGTAGCTGAAGAGACAACTCAGGGTGGCAACCTTGACAAAAGCTTGCTTAGGGTACGAGTAGTTGGACTGTTATTTTGACGTTGTTGGAGGTACAGGCGAAAGGTATATGAGTGCAAAAGTTAGTGTGAATGTATCTGCTTATAGGAAAAGTCATCATATTTGCTGCAGCAGGCCTGTTTTTCTTTGATAGAGACTTCAAATGGTGCAGATAAAGTACATCAGTGATCAAAGTAGAACATCTTTTTAATGTGTAAGCAGTCTTCATATATGCTGTTTGAAGCATACCAGCCAGAGGTGCTCATCTGTGCTGCAGTGCTGATAATACACCTGTATTAATCTAACTATACTGTAGGAATCATGAGCTTCTGTTAAAGTGAACACAACGTAACTGTATGCTGGTACCGATCCTGCGGAAGCCAGCGTTGGAGGGAATAATGTGCAGTCTGCTTTTGAGCAATAACATAATCAGAGAGGATGTTGCATCAGAAGCAAAAATATAACTAACCCATATGGTGTTTGCACAGTTGTGAAAATCTGTGGGTGCATTCGTGCAGAGCTTCTCAGCTTTGGGTATATTAGATTAGCCAAAATGTTCAATGTACCATTTGCAAGCTGGAACCAAAATACGAGAAACGTATGTCACAGCCTAGTAGAGTAACAGAAAATAGAGCACAGATAACGTTCACTGTTGCTTTGGCCTTGATTGAAAACAAGCGTGTTCCATGGAGGAAGCAGCCGTCACTGTCAGGGCATCTTCCCAACAGTATATTTCCCACACCTGTCTGCTCTCTCAGGCTTTTCTCTCTCCTGCTCTTTTACTAACCACAAAAACACTTCCCCCCTCCTCTCCGAGAGCAGCGCAGGAAGGGAGTTGGCACTTGTGAAAGATGTCTAGGGCTTGAGCTGAATGGCAGGAACACTGGTTCCCCCATGGTACTGTAGATAAGAGAACTGCTTTGTTGATTCCCAACCACATCCTGTTGTCATTACTGAAGCAATTAGTTTAAGTAAATCTGACAGATTGACCAGCATAAATGATTCACAACTGCGCAGATAACTTAATAATTAGTCTATTCAATCTGCTTTAACTGGCTTTTTTCCTTAATTTATGTAGTTTAACTGATACATATTTGTAAATATTTGAAGATGTATGCATAAATATGTGCGAGATGAGGGTGGGGTCTACAGTCATGACCGTACAGTATGGTCATCTAGCACAGCAGTCCAGAAAGTTTTTCACCCTATTGCTAATGTATAAAAACTATAACTTCTACCTTTGGTATCATTTTTATAATCATTTTTACTATTAAAAATATAAATAACACATTGTTATAACATATAATATGGTTATAACAGCTACATATCACCATAAGTATTGTTAATATAAATAACACATTAGAAGAAGGTTAAATATTACTGTGACTACTATTAACGAGGACAATTTGTAAGAATTACAAATAAACAAATTCATAAATAATAAGCAGCTCATATACAGACAAATCAGACATTTAGATAAACAATCCATAAACAAGGCCTGAACACTTGCAGATGAATTTCTGCTGTAACTAAGCAACTAAGTACGTAAACAACTTTATAGCAGAGAGTTCCATTTCCTGCTGACTAACCAAAGCTGAAAAGAGAATTTAAGCGTGAAGGTGGGCCGGCAGACCAGCGACTGAGTCAAATACTGAGGAGCCAGATCATGTAAAGTAGTTGTGGTGAGAACGTGACCACAGATACCAACAAGATTCTCATGCTTTTCAAAAGTGCGTCATGAGTAGTGTGTGGCGTCAAGTTTTGTATTTCTATCACACAAGAGATAAAAAACAGCGTAACGAGGCCTCTGTAACACGACACACTTCAAATACTCAAAGTTTATCACATACAGTTTCATTCATTAATTAGTTTCCAATAATGGCATCAAGTATTATTCTCAAAGGGAAAGTGACATTTAGCCTAACACAAGCTCAGTGTTCAGATAGCAGACTATGTATATACACACAGCACAAAGACCCCTGCCCTTCATTTATTTCCAGTCAGAATGGTCATTAACTACAAGTTATTCATTTTCAATGTTTGTAAAAGGCAGATATTTTAGAGAAAATTACAGCGAAGCCTCAACAATTAAATATAATATCTTTTTTCAGTATTTAGTGAAAAGAATATCTTTTTAAAGGACTTGCTTTAGGCTCACACCTCTAAAGTTCAGTCTTAGAAGTTGGTTGTAGTTTCTGCTTCTCATGATGGAAGTAATCCCAAACTCATTCAGTGATATTAAATTCTGGACTTTGGGGAGGTCAATTCATCGTTCTGAGAGCACCAGCAGCTTCTTTGTTTGATTTGCAAGTTGCTTTTCTCAGTAATGACTTCTTAACACCTGCACATTCTTTCACATTCATAACATAAGAATTGTCTCCTCACAGAAGGACGGTCAGAAACACCTGCGGATGTGTTCCAATATGAAGCGAGAAGTGGAGCTTAATGATCAGAGATACATGCTTGTTTTGCTTGTCTACCAGGTCTTGCGTGGCTATTGGGATCCTATTCTCTCTATATCTTATAATAATTTTTAAACTCCAGTTTTGGATTCTGTTATATGTAATATCTTCATAAAAATCTTCAGACAACGAATAACTTGTACTTAAGGCCACTTTGACTGTAAATGAAAAATGAAGGGTGGCCTCGTTTGCACAGCGCTGTATGTCACTGCAACAGCTGAAATGTTCAGACCTTTTCAATATTTTAAAGGTGTGAACCTCAATAAAGTGACTCAAACTGACAAATAACCCAGAATGTTCACTCTTAAAGAAGACGGCTCTTCGAGGGTTCTTTAGTAAAGACAACAGCTCTGCCTGGAACCATGAACACTCAAAAAGGGTTCTTCTGCTGAAACAAGCTTGATATCATAACAACCCCTGTCTTCACTAAAGAACCTTTAAAGAGGTATTTTTGAAAATGCACGACTGCAGATGTAAAACGGCGCTGCTAGTATTATAATGCACTGATGAGATGGTCTGGGTTTGCTTTATAACAGCAGCTACAGTTTCCTTCCTGACTTTCCACACTGAGAGAGTTTGTATTAGTGTGTAGTAGTTTGTAGTCTCACAGCTGACATTTGACGTAAAAGGCCTTGCACCTTCACTGATGTGGTTTTATTGGCTTCTTTGAGCACCTGTCAATCAATGCATGGGCTGGATTTGGTGGTAAACTGTTCCCCGGCTGTTGTGTTTGTAGATAATCTGTTAAACTGACTTAAATATCTCTTTAAATTGCTTCCTTCCAGACACGTAAGTTCCAGCTCTGGCATTTGAGGGTTCTGCTGACTTTCATTACTGACCTTTGTCCCTAGTTCCCCATTTCATTTGCTATTCATTTAGATCACGTTTCATGCAGGTGATGCAAACCACAATCAGCCTGGAAGGTGATAAATGTGTTTACAGCGGAGTTGGGATTTTATATCTGTTAACATGAGAAAAGATGTTAGATTTAACATTAGAAATGACTAAATCAGCAGTGGTTGGAGTAAACAGCGTGTGACAAAAGAAAGATAAAGATCTAATTTCTGAGAACGAGATCACCTGATCAAACGCTCTTCAGTTTGTTTATCGTCTCTATCAGAACAAAAACTCATATCTCTAAAATGGCAATTTTACAGGAGAAGGACAAAACAATTCTAAATTTTAACAGAGGTTTTAACAAGATGTATGCCAAGAAATGTTTGTCCATTCATTATGAAATGTTTACACAGCACAGAGGTAACTGGAGATAAACTGGAGATTATGCAAAACAAAAAAGGGGAATATAACGTTTTTATGCAACATCAACTACATGAATGTCAAAACCTACACGTTTTAGTGCACAAAAAAGCCTCAGAGGGTCGACAAACAGAGTAAAGGTTTCAAAGCAATATCAAAATTCCATTCAAGCATTTTCATTTCATTTCATACATTTGAGTGAATCTTAAACTATAAATTTGTTATTAATGCATATGGAAACAGTATTAAATATTACAGTCATTCAGTATTATCATCACCTCCTCACAGCTATTCAGAAGTATAGAGCTTACTTTTCTACATCATTTGAGCTCGGCAGCTGCTCTTTATGTTGAGTGGAAATTTCATAATTACTGGACCAATAAAAATCTCTTTACATTAATTAGCATTGAAAGTTCAGAAATTGTTTACCTTCTCCTGTAAAGTTTATATATATATATATATATATATATATATATATATATATATATATATATGGGGGTGGGGGGCAGTGACAGTATTTAATGGTTTAGCTTGGTGCAGCGCATTCATTCTAAGACATCAGACCCCATTGCTGATTGGATCTGTGCCAGTGCTACATCTCTGCACATACGCACTGCATGAGAAAACCACACTTACAACAACTACTGAAAGTATTTTGACAGGAAGTAAAAAATGTTATATTGTATATTCAAAAATGGAGATTATACTGTGTACTCATTCATCAGACTAGACAAAAACAATGATATGCAAATCATTTGAACCTTGTGTTTTCTTGAAAATAGTACAAAAACAGCATAGCAAATATTAAAACTGAGAAATTATATTGTTTTTTGAAAAATATATGCCTTTTTTAAATTTGCTGCAAGCAACATGAACAAAAAAAGTTGGGACGGGGGCCTGTTTACCACTGTGTTTCATTACCTCTTCTTTTAACAACACTCTGTAAGCGTTGGTGAACTGAGGAGACACTGCTGTAGTTTAGAAAGTGAAAAGTTTTCCTGTTCTTGCTTGATACAGGATTTCAGCTGCTCAACAGTTCAGGGTCGTATGAGTAGGTCTGCACTGCAGGCAGGTCAGTTTAGCACCCAGACTCTTCTAACATGGAGCAATGCTGCTGTAATACATGCAGAATGTGGTTTTACATTGTCTTGCTGAAATAATCAAGGCCTTCCCTGAAAAAGACGTCGTCTGGATGGCAGCATATGTTGCCAAAACCAGTATATATGGTTCAGCATTAATGGTGCCTTCACAGATGTGCACGTCACCCATGTCATGTATACCACTCACACTATCACAGACGCTGGTTTTTGAACTGTGCGCTGATAATAAGCCGGAGGATGCAATGTCTATTTTTTCTAAAAAGAATTTTAAATTTTGATTTGCCAAAAGACAAGACACTTTTCTACTTTGCCTCAGTCCATCTTAAATGAGCTCAGGCCCAGGGAAGGTGGCAGCATTTGTAGATCCTTTTTATGTACAGTTTCTTCTTTATGTTTTAGAGTTTTAACTTGCATTTGTGGATGCAGTGATGAACTGTGTTCAGACAGTGGTTTTCAGAAGTGTTTCTGAGCCCATGCAGTGATTTCCACTACAGAATCATGTCTGTTTTTAATGCAGTGCTGCCTGAGGGCCCAAAGATCACAACCAGCAAATACTGGTTTTTGGCCTCGTCCCTTACATACAGAGATTTCTCCAGATTCTCTGAGTCTTTAATGTTATTTTGTACCGTAGATGATGAAAAGCAAACGTTCTTTGCTATTTTTGTTATTCTTGAATTGTTGCACTGTTTGATCGTGCAGTGTTTCACAGAGTGGTGAACCCCTCCTCATCTTTACTTCTGAAAGACTCCGCCTCTCTGAGATTCTCTTTTATACTCAGTCATGTTACCAACCTGTTGCCATTTAGCCACCAGATTTTTTGTTTTTGCATTACAAAATTTTGTCAGTCTTTTGTTGCTCATGTCCCAACTTTTTTGAAAGATGTCACTGACATCAAATTCAAAATGAGCATATACTTTTCTAAAGGACAAATTTCTCAGTTTCAACATTTGATGTGTTGTCTTTGTACTATTTTCAATTAAATATAGGGTTTAAATGATTTGCGCTTCATTACATTTTGTTTTTATTTACAATTTGCACAGCGCCCCAACTTTTTTGGAAACAGGTTTGTAGGTTAAAAAATGAATAATAACTGCATCACAGTGCTACGATGTAATTATGCAGTACGTAAAAGTAAGATTTGTCACAAGTTGAATATGTAAGTATATAGTAAGTATTAAGGTAAACAATACCATACATACATACATACATACATACATCATCTAAACCGCTTATCCTTCTGGGTCGAAATGATTGTTGAAATGCACAAATCTTCCTATCAAACATGGTTCTTTAGGGAAGCATCGCTCAAAGAAGCTTTTGTTGCATCCTTTTTTTTGGCTGCTGCACATACCTGGTATTTTTCGCATAATGAACTTTAATACCTTATAAGCAAAGTATGTGTCATTACTGGTATCTTACATAATTACCCATTAAACACTATTAAACATTAAGGTATTAAGTATGTACCGTATTGTAAAATAAGCATAAGCATAATAAGCACTGCAGCAGCTTTAAGGCGACCTTCATTAAATCCCTGCTTTCGTGACAAAACCTTATGTCTCCAAAATGGCAACTTTACATGAGAAGGAAAAAATGTTTTTAACTTTAAATGGAAGTTAATGGAATATGTTTGTTTTTTTCAAAATAATTCTACAGATCCATTTATCATAAAATTTTAATGGAGGGGAATCTTCAGGGGCTTCTCGATCTTCTATGAGACTAACACAATTTATGGGAACCATAAATGCATGGCTGCTCTATACCAGGCCTTGTTTCACGGTAAAAGAGTCATAGTGAAACTGCTACAAGCTAAAACATATTCTAATCTGCCTGTCAGCAATTACACTCTGGTGCCTAAATGCTGAAATACAACAAAAATGGAGAAGGTTCTGCTCCAACAGTGACAAAATCAAACAGCAAACTGTCCATCAATGTGTGGCTTTAAAGATCTGCTTTTTTTCGTGTTCCAGTTAAGATAAATGACGCTGCGGTGCCAAGATGACCTGTCCGAATGCCGCATGCGTGGAGCACAACTCAACCAGAGTGAACTGCTCCTACAACATGACCTCCTGGGAAGAACACATGTATAATCTGTACACCTACTTCTACCTGCTCATCTTCATCCCAGGCTTGCTAGGAAACAGCATCGCTCTCTGGGTGCTGTGTCGCTTCATAAGGTGAGTCTTTTTTGACGGGCAGACATCTTCTGAAAAACGTGCTGCAGAAGTGGCCTAAGTATGACACACCCACGACCTTGTGAAATGACTGTAAGTCTGTGTAGGCGTGCGGAGAGCATCTCAACTCAACATGCCAGAATTACTTCTCTCTCTGACATGGACGGAACTGATGTTCTTTATTGCTTTTCTACTTTACAGCAAGAAGACCAAAGCCATCATCTTCATGATCAATCTGGCTGTGGCTGACCTCGCCCACGTCCTTTCCCTGCCACTGCGTATCTACTACTACTTCACCCACTCCTGGCCGTTTGGGCAGGGAATGTGCCTGCTCTGCTTCTACCTGAAATATCTCAATATGTACGCCAGCATCGCCTTCTTGGCTTGCATCAGCCTCCAGCGCTGTGCCTTCCTGATGCACCCCTTCTGTGCCAAGAAGTGGAAGCGGCGCTACGACGTACGCATTAGCATTGCGGTGTGGCTGGTGGTAGGCCTCTGCTGCTCTCCCTTCATCTTGATGAGGACCAACTCAGAGCAGAAAAATGGGACGAGCTGCTTCAAAGACTTGCCCATGCGGAAGCTGAAACTGGGCACTGCTGTAACGATGATGGCCTTCGGGGAGCTCCTGGGCTTCGTGATCCCGCTGATCATCATCGGCTTCTGCTCCTACTTCATTGTGCGCTCCTTGCAGCAGAGCACTCAGGCTGGCCACTCGGTCAATGACAAGAAGAGGGCCTTGCGCATGGTGCTGGTGTGTACGGGAGTGTTCCTCTTCTGCTTCGCTCCGTACCACGTCAACTTTCTGCTGTACATGATGGTCTCACAGGACCTCATTACCGAGTGCACCATGAGACAGGCAGTTAAACAGTTCCATCCCATCTCTCTGTGCATAGCCAGCCTCAACTGCTGCCTGAATCCACTCATATACTACTTCCTCACCACGGAGTTCCGACAGCAGCTCAGCCGTCATGGCAGCTCAGTGCTGAGAGGCCGGCTGATGAGTCTGGAGAGCACCTCCTCCTATAAAGAATGAGCTCTTCTAGACCTTCACAGGTATGCATTAGTAGCCAGTGTCTCCTTGCGCTGCTTCTTTCTCTCCCTCTTCTTCTCCGTGACGCACTTTTTCCACTCATTGTTTCAAGCTGCACTGTGACGAGGGAACTGAAGGATGGTGGCTGTAGTTTTGACACTGTAGAGCTTAAAAAAATAACCTTGAACTGTTTTTAAAGAAGAATTGTAGGTACAACCACAATACAGTATTTTGTCTGTTTGTAATGGAGAGAACTGTCTCGAGGGTCACCACTCAGAGTGGCTGTCCAGAGAAAACACAGGACCAACATCAGAGCAGAACTGATTAATCAGTACAACTGACTGTCTGGACCCTCTGAAATACAGGACTAAAGGTTTTTGCCCATGTTCAGACTCAGTGACCTAGTTTTAAAGGGAAGATAAAGACATACTGTGTTGGGTTCTTATGTAAACGTAATCCTAGTAGAATGTGCTCTTACTATGTTATTGCACTAAAACAAACATGATGAAAACAAGCACTTAAAGGCGTGACGTTGCTGTCAGAGCAAATCCTTCCATCTCCATTTTTGCCTTTTTTTTTGCATGAGTTGAAGGCTCCAGCTGACATTCACACTGTGTCAAAACTTCATGACAGATGGACCAATAAAAATGGTCAAAAATGACTAAGAATGCAACCCTTTTGCATTAACCTACATTCAGTTAAGGGGTTTTTGCCTCTCCTGTAAAGTTACTTTGTTGAGATACGAGGTTTTTGTTCTGACAGCGATGATGTGTTTTATTTTGGTGACACTACTGAAGAGCAACGTTAACAGGTTATAGCCTTTTGTGACAACTGTCATAAGCCTATGTAGCCTTATGAATGCTGCCTCTCAGTAGAGCATCATCCTCATTTTACAGATAATACAAAGCTGACAAAGTAATTCTAACTTTGTTTAATTTTATATGGTTTTGTAGTGAACTGAAATAGGCAGAACTGAGAGTGTCATATCTTCTCTGAACTGAACAATCGATGTATCACTGATTGCCATCAGTAAAATGCAAGTAACAATCACGGGTGGAAAATACTTGAGTAGTTTTACTTTATTTCCATACTGAAGTATTATTGATTTGTACTTTATTCAAGTATTATTGGAATTAAATACTTGTGCTTTTTTTTTTCTTAATTACATTTACAGAAAAATTGTTCATTTAGCCCTTTAAAGTGTTCATTACATACATCTATAAGGCCAGGAGGTTTTTCTCTTACCGACCATCACTTGATCTGAGCTCCTGAACATTTGAAGGTATTGTTTTTTTATTAAACACCCAACCAAATTCATCTCATGGTAATTCAAACCCCTAACTATGCTAATTTGTCTTTGTGCAATCGATATTTTCAATTTCACTCAAGTAGATTTCTGACTCTGTACTTCCGCTTTGAGTAAGATTTTGACGAAGTACTCAAACTTTCACATAAGTATTGTTTCGCTGTACTTTTTCCTTCCCGGTAATAATAATAGTAGTAATAATAGTAATAATAATAAGCTAAAGCAATTGTAGGCATGTTTATTCCTGTCAGTGTTATAAGAGGTTGTAAATAAAATCATTGATGAATGCTTTTATAATGTTGTTCTGGTATTTACTGTATCCTGTTTTCTCTTATATACAGTGGTTCAATGCTTCTGTTTTGCATTCTTTTCTAAATGAATGCAAATTTTCCATTACAAATTATTTTAATAGCATAAATATTAGCATATTAGTGAAATATTTACATGAATCTTGGATTGTTTTAGCATTAGGTCTGCCTCCCTCTTCCTTCTGCTTTAATGTTTAAATGATTGTGAACTCAAGACTCCACAAGCCTCTGATGAGTAGATCAACAGATGAGACTAAAAAAAATCTGACTTTGTACAAAACAGCCTTTACTATGTCACAGATCTGCTTACGTAATAATGTCATACAGACAGAGCGGAATCTTCAATACTGCGTCTACATCGTACTTTACATTTTTCTTTGTTTTAAAGTTTGTACAGTTCTAAAAGGTTCTGTTCTTTATTTCCTGATTGACATGAAAAAAAAGAAGAGACCCAGATTTTCAAACGTGCTCTCAGACATTTGGACTTCACTGTACTCATTTCTTGCCACTGTATGCAAAATTTCACTGTGAAGTGTTTGTGAAACTACTGTAAATAACAAACAAACCTCTCTATTTCAGTGGTTTCCTCATACAGACTCAGATGTACGTGCTTCTTATTTGCATTGCACACCCCCAAATGTTCTTTCCACCCAGCTGAATTTACCAAAGGACCCCGGCCAGGTGATTACCCCAAAGCTCTCGAGAAAGCCAGATATTATTGATCTTTTCCATGACTCATTTACTGAACCACTCTCGCTTCAAAACGTGCTCAGTGGAGGAGCTGCGGGGGAGAGCGGTGCACGGCGCTGCTGCACATCATAGCATCACGCAGTCACCAGCAGGGGAGAACAGAGCACCGACGACACTGCTTTCACATTTTGCATGATTAATCACTTTTATTCAAGTAACAAACATCTATGCTACAAATGACTGAACTTTATTCACTATTTGTGAACAATTTGGCCAAAAGTGGGAGTGAAAATATTACAGTGTGCCCTGTAGGCAGTCAGAGTGGCTAGTTTACTACAGATTTTAGTTAAATTGATGCACTATATACAATATAGTTTAGTGTTGATGAAATGAGCTACTCAATCTAAGTACATCCAAAATATGTTAATCAAAATACACGACTCATGAAAAAAATACTGTTAGAGCAAATATCAGCATAATGTCAGCATAGTAAAATTAAAATTTTAATATAAAATAAATTATTTATTTTAATTAAAATATATTATTTACAATACCAGTTTGGACACACTTACTCATTGAAGTTTTTTTGGTGTGTATATATATGTGTGTATATATATATATATATATATATATATATATATATATATGTATATATATATATATATATATATATACATACATATGTATATATACATATATATATATATATATATATATTACTATTTTCAATCATTTAGAATAATAATGAGCACATCAGAACAATGAAATGACACATATGAAAATTTGCAATCCAGAAAAAAGTGATAAACAATCCAAACAATCTTCTATTTTAGAAATTAGCCCCTTTTGCCTTGATGCAGCTTTACTCAAGATGTTCTCTCTAACAAGAAGATTTACATCTGCTGAGAACTCATACATCGGCATCTGCTTCCTTTTGTACTCGTCTTACAAACAAACTTCATTTAAGTATAAGTCGTAAGATGTCTTTGGGCCTGTTTCCCAGACAAGCCTAGTCCTGGACTAAACAACATTTTGAATGGAGGTCCAAACATTTGACTACAAGTGTACATGACATCCAGTGTGTTTTTATATAAAAATACACCAATTTAATGTATATAGAGGAAATCCTGACGTCTCTTATGGTTTAAGTTTAGTTGTATCCAGCCCTGCCGTGAGTCACTTATGTGCTTCAAAATAGTTCCACATTACAGCTACTAAAGGGTGATTAAAATGATGTAGGTGTGAATTCTGCTGTTTCAGCTCAGTAAATAAAGTGATAAAACACCTATTATGAAAAAAGACTTTATGGTGCAAAAATGGTCGACAGGGTGAATCATGAGAAACGTGTTTCGGACCGCTGTCAAAACTTGCGAACGCAGTTGGTTTGACAATTTGAGAATCATCATCTACAAAAAACAAGTTCTACTTAACTACTTAACTGGTACGATTAGGGCTTCCTACATTCAGCCTTCATAACAAATGTATAAGCCCTGAATAATGTATTAAAAAAGCAATACTTGACTACTTATGAACAGCTTATGTCAATATCTGCAAGATGTTTTAGGACGTGAACACTATATTGACATAAGGGCTTTTTTATTTTTCTACTTGAGTTAAAGTTTAAGAGTGAGTGCTTGTTTATAAGTGTACTTAAGTATCAAAAGTAAACACACTGAGTTACTGGTTATTTGCCATTTTGATGAGCAGGGAAACCCGTTTGGCTGCTGATAGAAGGTGGAGTTCGGTGGATAGAAGGTGGAGGTCTTCGCTATATAAACTGTACTCTTTGGTAGAAATTTACAATGATAAAAATGTATCATAGTGTAAATGCCTTTATGTCGACACATGAACTGTACATAATTACTCATGTAGTGCGTGTTATTCAGCACTTCTGCTTGTGTTGAGAAGGCCCTCGTAGGTAGTCTTCAGATAAAGCGTTACCAAAAAGTTCTGTGTTACATTAACGCCCAATCCCCCCCCCCTCCCCCCTCGTCCTTGCGCTCTCCTTCAGAAGCTTCACGCTGACAGACAGCTGCCACCCAGGAGACCGCTGGGCCGACACCCAGGAGGCCGCTGGTTTGTAAGGTAAACAGTTTACAGCAGCTGCTCCACTAGGTGGAAGTGGCAGCTGGAGGCCGGCCAAGCCTCAAGGGTAGCAGTTAAACTGTCACTTCACAAGCACACATGAGCACTTTGTCTGGAAAGAAGCTCCACGTGAAAACGGCAGCCCACACAACACAACCCTCAGCTCCTCAGAGGAGAGATAATGCAGGTAGCTTGTTTAATATCCATGGACCTTTTTGGTAAAAAGCCCCTGTAAATCACCATTTAATCAGTAAATTAATTAAACAATATTAATCATTAATGACTGTTAATGTTTACGGATCATTCTACTGAATTTGTTCAAACTGCCGTCAAAAAGCACAATTTAAAAAAAACTAATAAGTATTCAGACCTTAAACATTTAAAAGGATTATTATCTACGCAAACTTGACATTCACAGTAATAAGCTAAACATAAACAGTAATAAGTTCGTCATAAGCTAAATATGAACAAAATCATCATTTATAGAAGACTTTCTATTGTCCCAAACCTGAACTTCAAATGTTTTGTTAAAGTTGTAAAATTTAATTTCTTCTAAAGTGAAGTCAAAAGATTTATGTTTATTATTTAATTTAGATTTATTATTTTTTTAAAATATTAAAATATTAGTTTTCATGTCATCACCAAAACAAAGAGTTTTAGTCTGTAGGCAGAGTCTTGTTTTAGCCACGCCCCTGCATTTTAGAGCAGGAAGTGAGGCTGCATCCCTGTCCCTCATGGCCACATGGTGAGCAGTTAGAGCCCATTGTTATGAAGTCAATGTGTCCCAAAGTCTGAACACACGGTCTGCAATCTCTGTCTTTGTCTCCAATACAAAATGTTATAATTTTATGTGTTTAATATCTGTGTTTGTTAGTCATGTACTGGCTAACTTTTCTCAGCTATGCTCAAAATCTCACTTATGATTGGCTGTTGTGGTAGTGACAAAACGGAATGTTCAATCATACATTTTAATAAAATAAACATAATTAAGGTATAGAGTCACACAAAGCAAAAGGATTTTAGTCTAAAGTCAGTTTAAAGTCTGAAATGTGTTCTGACTTTAAACTGGTTTTCTAGAATGATTCTAGAACTGTAAGAAAAGCTACCATTTGAATTATTATCCATTTATTTATTGACAAATAATTAACTCCTTTTCACAGCAGCCATAAAATGCCATTTCTGCCTGTTCTGGACATCCTTCAGTTTTTGCTCTATGATTTTTTTAGTTGATATATGTCATATAGGTGATATTATACATTTAAAATGTGTATGACTTACAAAACTGGAAGTGAACTGGATTTTCATCTTTGTAGGTGAAGCAGGTCAACTTTTAGAAAAGTGTTTTTAGGGATGCATCGATACTGATACTGGTACTGGTATTGGGCATTGGGCCGATACCGTGCTCATTTACTCAACTCACTGATACCATCATTCCGATACCCGCTGATACTGTGTGCCGTAAGCCGAGTGTAGCTGCTGCACTAATGAACAAACAACTCAGGATGGCAGTGAAGGAGGATCTGCTCACACAGAGAGGAGTTACTGACTCCGTCACTGGTCACTGGCCAGACCTGCACTGTGTGATTTTAGACTGTTTAAACACACAATCGCTTCCCAATAAGGGTGGAGACACGGAGGCCAAACAGAGAAAAGTCAACATTTCCTACCAGAGTCTGTCTTTGCTGACTTTACTCTGTTTGACTGAGAAGAATAGCGAGATATAAACGTGATTTTTGTTTTTTGTAAAACAGGCTGTAGAAAGACCGAACTGTCCTACTGTGAACATCACCGCCTGACTTTAGCTTCAGTGCTCAGTGTTAGCAGCGCTGCTCAGTTTCTCCATGTTCAGCACTCAACTTGAAGCCTGTTATTTTGGATGAAATGGCTTTATATTAACTGTTCATGGAGTGTTTTCGTACAGTGTATGTAAATCAGAGGTTTTTATTCAGTGTACAGTGAGAGTCACCAAAGAACAAGAACTCTAAACTCGTGCAGTGTCTGTCTGGCTTTAGAGGACATTCAGTTACGGTTCAACCAGCCAAACATCAGACCTGAGATGTAAAACTCCACAAGTGAGCTCCTCAGATGTGATTCCTGCTGTCGCTGTGCTGCTGCTGAAAGACACAGATTGGGGTTCAAACCTGTGAATCGTGTTTTAATTACAGCTGTACAGCAGTGTAGCATAGTTAGCTTACTCACATCATTTAAT